AAAAAGGTAAAACAAAATTTCACAAGAAAATAATAGGAGAATAAGAATAGTTAATACATTACATGTTGTTATCTTTAAAGTAGTTGCTTAGGGTACAGGATATAATTCCAAAAGCTATAAGATGTTTAGGGGATAAATTGGGGAAATCTAAATGCAGAATCAATGTAAGACAATATTATTAATCATTCTCTTCAATGGCATTCTTATTTTAGGACTGTTCAGGGGTAAAATTCATGTCTGCAGCTTTCCAATGATTAAGAAATAAATGTATATATCCAATATAGCATGCTATTAACAGTTATTTCACTTTTTTATTCTTTTTAAATTACATTTATTGGTACATTTTCAGTATACATAATGATCACTTTCATGGTAGGGACTTTGCAGCTATACATTCATTATTTGTCTCAATTCCTTTCTTCCCCCATTCCCTTATCATTCCTTCAATCCCTCTTCCCCTCATTTACAAAAGTTTGATTTCCTTTTCTCCCTCTTTTTTCTTTTATTCTTTTCCTTTCCTTCCTTTTCCCTTCCCCCTCCCTAGTTCCCCTTCGCAATTGAACATTTTCTTCCTATTTCATAATATCTAGTACATATTCTGGTGCTTATTTGTACTTTCGCTTTCTCATAGCAGAGGAAAAATGCAACAGGGAAACACTCAAAAATCAGTAGCATTCTTGTTCACAAACACCAAACTCATTGAGACAGAAATTAGGGAAACCTTGCCTTTCATAATAGCATCCAAAATGATGAATACTTAGAAATCAGTCCAACAAAGGAAGTAACAGATCTTCACACTGAAAAGTATGGTAATCTGATAAAGGAGATTGAAAAGGGTATCAGAAAATGGAAAGATATCCGTTGCTCTTGGGTAGGAAGAACCAACACAGTGAAAATGATCATATTCCCAAAATTGTTACACAGATTTCATGCAAAAGAGTTATTTAATTTTAACAACTAGTAAGAGATTATATTGTGCAATTCTCTTAACTTTTTTATGTCTTACATTTTTCGAAATAAGAAGTTGGAGTCACATGTAATGGCAAATGATTGTAATCCCAGCACTCAGGAGGTTTGTAATTCCAGGACTGGGGAAGCTGCAAGTTTGAGGCAAACCATGGCTACACAATGAATTCAAAGCCAACTTGGTCTACAGGGTGAGATGCTGTCTCAAGAAAACAAAACAAAACAAGGCCAAAAAAAAAAAAGAAAGAAGTTGGGGAGAAAAATTTTTTTAAAAACAGGATAGCAATATAATTAAAATTAAAATAGAATGGTGTCAGGGGTGTAGCTCAGTGGTAGAATATTTTCCTGGTATGCACAAAATCCCAGGACTATTTGATTTGAAAACTAATAACCACTCCACTAGTGGGTCTACTGTATTGAGTTTAAGCAGATTTAGTACCTTCTGAATAAGAGAACGGGGCCTGTTGGTTTTGACTACTGGAAGAAAAGTTATACTTAACTAAAGTCTTAGTTAATTCAACCAGCTAGTAAAATCCAATCAGATCACTAAGCACTTCAATTGATTGATCTGCTGAATGATCTTCCTTTCAGAATGCACCTAATTGAGTTATTCTTATTTTCACCATCAGTTTTATTTTCCTAACTGTGAAGAGCAATTTCTTATGCACCTACTCCGAACAGGATGTTGGATGCAACACATTCTTATCTCAAGGGGGTTGCAATATCGTTGGAAAACTAGGAGGTATGAATCAAGGATAAAGGGCAACACAAGAAAGCATAATCGATATGTTATATGCTAAATGTGTAATATTATAATCTCTAGGGAGTTTATTACATAAAGTCTGAATGTGTCTCTAGTGGTTACATAACCTCATCCCTCACATTATGGATGAGAAAGCAGATTTATATTTATGCACTCAAATTTTTGTGTTTACTTTGACACTGGGATTATTGCTGTTGATTGTTTCATTTTGTTTGTATTGTTGTCATGCTTACAACAACTTTTATGCTTAGATATTATGAAAACGTTTACCTATGGTTTCTTCTAGTGCTTTTTAGCGATCAGTGCTATTTATTTATTTATTTATTTGCAGTATTAGGATCAGACCCTGGGTCTTATGCATGCCAGGCAAGCACACTGGCACTGAGCTACTCCCTCAATGTTTTTTAATTTTTATTTTGAGACAGGGTCTATATATTTTTGAAACATATGAAATTTATTTTGATATGAGAAATGAGGTCGGACAGTAGCTTTAGGTTTGCTGAACTTTAAACCAGTTGCTCAACGTTATTTCAGTGATCTCTTTTGGCACTGATGTGACCTCCACTAACATCTCATATTTGCCTTTATTTAACTCTGATTTCCCATTTCATTGATGAGCCAGTGTTATGCTATCTCAGGAAATGCAGCCTCATAATAATAGATCGGGAAGAGAAGTCCTCCCCTTGGTGATCTTTTACTCAGAAACTACCTGGTTCTTCCCCCAGTGAGACCCCATACCCAAAACTCGGTAATGTTTCCTTACTACACAAAAGATTGCATTCATGGATAATGTTGCCCCAGACTTTGTCATAAACAAAAAGGCCCAACTGATTCAAGTTTCTCACCCAATCCTATTGTCATCTGATTGAGACTGCCCAGCATCTAAAAATTGATTTCAGCAGAATTTCCATTTTTTACAATGTTGCAGCCTCTATTCCCAGTAACAATATGTTTCTTTTCATTTGTAACCATCTTTGCATCCTCCTGAATCCTGGCAGGAAACAGATGTCATGTTCACATGGGAAATTGATGAGCTCAGCAGAGTGAGTCTGTACTTGTGCAAGATTTAAGGAAATTAAAAAGGATGATGCACGACATGAGAGGGCCTCCCAGCCTGAGTGAAATGGCAAGGGGAAGAACGATGACTAGGATTCAGGGAGTAGAGCATCATTATGCAAAGGCTGCAGCCAATTCTCAGCCAGGCAGAGGAGGGATGCGGCAACAGGGACCCTGCCATCCATTTCCAGCCCTGGGCCTCCCAGTGGCTAGACCCAAGCAGATGGCAGCTATCAAGGGGCTGGTCACAGGGCTGCGCCTCCAAGGACACAGGCCAGGTTGACAGGGAGAGTGGACGGAGGCTGAGGAGGGCAAACGTAATAGGTTCGGCCTGCTAGGCGGAGCCCCTCGCTCTCCCAGTTGTCCTAACTACTTGTTTCCTGGCCCTTTTCTTCCAAATGCTCCAAATTTTACTATTTTGAATGTGCTTTCTCCTCCCATTTATCTCCAGTCCAGACCAGTTACTGTTTATACGGGAGAAAGCTATTAACTTTTATATACTGTTTGCATTGTAGAGTACTTAGACAGGAGACATTCAATTCTGTGTCTTTGAGACAGCATCTCACCTCGTAATCTCAAACTTGTGGTGCTTCTCCTCCCTCATCCTCACAAGTGCAAGTGCTAGGGTTATAGGCATGTGCCACCATGGCCAGCTGAGATGTTTGATCATTACTGCCTGTGTGGGTATCACTTGTTATGTCATGTAAGGCAAGTTCAATATTGTTTCTGCATCAAGTCCAGTATGTGTAAGAAAAACACCTGGGTAGTAAGATAGTTACTTCAGTTTTAGTGTTTATTGATATAATACATATGGAGCAGTTATAGCAGTACCTAGTATCACAACAAAGCCTCAGTAAATGTCACCTATTATTAGTGTAACCGGTAGTTGTTCGGCTGATTTGGGGCATCAGTGACTTTTCTTTTTTATTTTATTTATTCATTTTTTTTTCTTTGAGACAGGGTCTGACTATTCAGCTCAGGCTGGCCTTGAATTCACCATGTAGCCCAAGCTGGCCTCGAATTCACAGTGATCCTCCTGCTTCAGCCACCCGAGTGCAAGCATGGTGCCACCACACCCAGATTGACTTTTCTTTTTTAAAAATGTGTTTTACTAGTATGTCTACAATACAAAATGATTACACTTACCATGGGGAGTTGGTGCGTGTACGTAGCATGTCTGCATTCTTTTACTTCCCCTTCCCATCTTCTCTCTCCTCCTTCCCTCCATTTCTTGGCCCCCTTCTCCTTTGCAAAGATCTATCTCCCTGTTTCCTTTATCTGTATTTATTTTGTTCTTTAAATTATTTATACTTTGTCTTTCTCATATAAGAGAAACCATGCAATCTTTAAGCTTCTGTGCCTCATTTATTTCACTTAACATTATTATCTCAAGATGCATCCATTTTCCTGCAAATGATTGAAACTTACTCTTCTTTGTGGTAGAATTTAAGCCTTTTCAGTGTAGAATATCAAGCCTGGTCGTTATCAGTTGATTTCCTCATGCCAAACTCTGCAATTACTGCATTCCTTTCCAGACAGAGCAGGTGGATTAAGGAAATTTAAAGAAATGGCTGAGAAATTTTGTAGAATTGGCTACAGTACTTCAACTGGATCCACAAAAAGCTCTGACAATCAGTTAAGAAAGGAATTGTTCTGCCAGGGACCACACTTTGAGAAGCAAGGCTTTGTAGGACACTAGACCATAAGTGCAGCTGCCTTTTTTTTGAATCTAAAGTGAGTGAACCAACTGGTGCTTTTCCATAGCTTGACAACCAGTAAGCCTTCCTGCCCGGCTCAGAACAACAGAAGTAAATTAGGTTTGTCTCTAAGACATTTACAGAATGGTGGTTCACCACCTGGGGTATTCTGGGGAAGTTTTGCAACGTTCTGAGACATTTCTGCTTGTCACAACTGAGCGGAGCCGGTGCTACTGGCATCTGATGGGCACACAGCAGAGACGTAGCCAAACATTCTGCAACTCAGCAAAGAATGATCTGGTCTAAAGTGTCAAGAATGCTAAGGTTAAAAACCTTGCTATAAAAATAAAAACAAAGATTGATGCACCAACTTTTTAAAATTCAGATGAGATGTTGTTCCAGTTGTGGTGGTAGAAATAAGAGGAACCTGGTGTCTCTGCAAACCTCATGTCTGGGGTGGCTTAAAGTGTCACGCTCCTCCCTGCTTCCCCCACTGCCCCCAGCCTTGTGTTTGCACTGCAAACCCCAGGGTAGCAGCTGGAAGTCTCTGACTCTACACTGTTTGCTGCCTTCCCTGCATCTCAGAAGACAAAGAATCACTCCTTGCAGTCAAAGGAAGTGTTTTAAGTACCAGAACAAATTTGGATCATTTAAGTAAGTAGATGTCTGCCCCGGTAGAAAGGACTGGAAAGGAGAGGGAACTCAAATCACAGGCAAAAAAAAACTTTTTTAGACTATGAGGGAAACTGTGGTTGTCTAAAACATCAATACTTCTAAGTTCAAGTTTTACTAACATCAGAAATGTTATTTTTTCAGAGTTTGACTTTCTCTAACTTTGAAGGAATAAACACTAGTGATAAGTATTTTCAATAGCACATTTTAAGGCAATTTTCCCAGCATTGTGTTCTGCTACTTTGTGTTAAGCTACTGTGCTCTGCTGTCTTTGCAATGCCAAATCTGATGTCTTTCTTTATCTTAGTTGATGTTACTGGCTTCATCTCGGGCTGACCTTGGAATCTCCCATGCTCTGCCCTCTTCTACCAGACCTCTGTGTTCCATTTTGGAAGAAGACTAAAAATGGTAAGAGAACTCAAAATTTGTTATCTGCAGTCTTTGTGCGAAGCACTGCAACCAGTTGGCAAGAGGAATGTTTAAGAGTTGCACTTTGCTGATTTCCTGGGGGAAAACTGTTTTGTGCTCTTTCATCACTAAGATTAATGAGGGGAGAATTTCATAATTTCAGATCAATCGATGCTTGCTCTTTCTAACTTTCTCTAAAAGCTAAATACATATGGTTGTTAGCAGGAGCAGATATCTGAGTTAGAGACATTGCTTGAATTGGTCTCCTTTCTTTGTCTTATGTTTTTGGATTTAAAGAAATGCAAATCATGGAAGTTGCTTTGTGCTTTGCCCAACATCTCGTGCTGTGGGATTGACTATATTGATGGGGTGCACATGGGACAGCACCCCAAGCTCTGATGCTGTCAAAGAAAAACAGAGCTGGCAAGTAGTACTGCAGGAACTACGGCAACAAGCGAAAAGAGACCTCAGTAGAGAACTGGGCTCAATTCCAGGTACAGCAAGGAGTGGGGTAGCATTCAGTGGATGGAAAATTACTAAGAGGAAACTTCATGGGTGAGGGAATTCTGGCTTAACTGACCAGACCAGATTCTTACTGGAGACCACCAAGAATCCTATAGATCGAGATCTATATCTAGGTCCAGATCATCCTCTGGGGTGTGGTGGGGAATGAGGAATTTGATCAGATACCAAAGGTAATCACAAACCAAGGTATGCAGGAGCATTCTCAATAAATTAACTTGGCAGGAGTCTTGTCCCAAATGGGCAATGCTAAGATGGACACAAAACCCAAAGGCTGTCACCAAGGCTTAGAGGAACCTGATCGAAGTATAGTCAAGGGGAGTCTTTGCCAGTGGCCGGCTCTCCCAGTCACTAGCTGGGGGATCTTGTGCCTGACACCCGAGCCTTCAGAAGCTCAGTCTCTCTGACTCTGAAGGGAGCGTGATAAAACTTCCCCAGTGCCTTCGGAGCCACCGTTAGGCCCCAATAACACTGTGTTTGTTCAAATCTTTTGCAAGTGGTGTGGTACAAGTGTAAGTGACTAAGTATGCCAAAACTAAATCAGAAAATGACATGGGTGGCCTTTTTCAGAAATTATTTTATCATGCAAATTGGTCACAATGAAGGGTTTTCACTAGGAATCATTGTGACTTCTGGATCTGAATGTTGGGCTCATTTTATGACTAAGTTCTAATAAAACATTAATTGTGGGACTTCTGTGCTACAAAGGAAACAACTGCTTCTGGTTTCATTTCCTAGAAACCCAGATGTCTATTGTAGTGCACACGCATGACCATATCTTTCTGTGCCTCTTGGGGGATGGCACACTGGAAATGATGGGAATGAAGAGAGCTTTGTTTTGACCACTTACTACTACTCAAGCAGCAGGTTATGGGCTTGATAAACATGAGTCTGTTTCAGCACCAAAGCAGCCCTGTGAGATACAAAAAGGGAAATGGAGAGTTTAAGAAGCTTAAGGACATAGCTTGCGCAGCCTGATTCCAGAGCTGTCTGAAACTCCTGTGTCTCTCCAAGCCTGGCACGCACTTCTACCCACAGACACTTAATAAATATGGGCTCCATTGTTTTATCATCAGAACAAAGGGAAAATTGGTATATCTTTTATATAAAGAAACGTGGAAGCAATTTTCAAAAGAAGAAAAATGCAAGGCCCAAAAGCACAGGGAAAAGTTCAACTCACTATTACTCATGTCAGATTCTTTAATCTGGAAGTTGGACTTCTCTAAGCTCTTCTTAAGGAAATGACCTACTGTGCGGCGAACCATTTACAAAATAGTCTCTGCAGCCTGGCAAAGGAAATATGTCATGTCCCATGTTGGATAAGGCTTTAAAACTAAATCCTTCCCCTGATGAAGCCCTGCCTATTACTAAAATGCTTCTCAACATGTGAAATACATGCGGGGACGGGGAAACCAGTATTGGAAGGACACATGACAAAATGTTAAGAGTAGCTAAACAATATTTAAAATAAAAAAACTTATTCTTAATTAATATCTCCATGGTAAAGAGATGAAAAGATATCAATGTACTAAATTAATGAAATATGATTATTTAAAAATTTGGAGGAGTGTGTCGGCATTAAAATGAAGCACCCTTATGGATTAACTAAGCAGTTCCTTTACACTCTAAGACTGGATCCTTTTCACCTCAGAAGCTGACCAACGTTTAGGGCTGAGGTTAGCAAACTATGGCCCATGCACTATATCCAGTCTGCATCTGTTTTTGTACAGCCAGCAAGCTAAGAATGTTATTTTTATGTTTTAAATGACTGAAATATATCAAAGGAAAATTACTCTCCCACGGCACCTAGAAGTTGAATTCAAGGTTGAAGCGCCCACAAATGGTTTAAATTTTTTGTGCTCCTGCTTCTCTACTGTCTGTAACTGCTTTTGCATCGATGGCCAACCCCATAAAAAGTAGGGTGTTTACTAGAAGTTATGTAGTGCGAAAATATTTCACTAAAAATATTTATTAATTTGCCATTTACAGAAAAAATTGGCAATTTGTGGTTACAGAGAACAAGAGGACAGTGTTTAAGGTTCCCTAGGATTTACTGTCTTGGAGTCATTGCTGATTGTTGAAACACATAATAGGTGCTGACTTCCTGACTTACACAAGACTACTTTATATCATTGTATTATTTTAGTCCTGAAACTAAGTCAGGTACAGAGTAAATGATAAAACAAGTTTCTCCTTTTAAAAAAAAAAAAAATGTGGTATATCCTTGTACTTTCTTGGTGTCATACAATTGAATTTTGATAGCTATGTTATTTTTACTTTACAGTGACTAAATCATGATTAGAAATATTTTAAAATACACAAAGAGAAGATAGTTAGAAATCTGTTAGGGAAATTCCTAGTGGAGGCTCAGCGTGCAATCAAATAGTGCTGAAGGAACTTCCCTCATTCACAGCGCTTGATTAGCCCCTGGAGAAACAGTTGTACACAACACAAATCTAGTTATCCAACAATTCAGTGTCTTAGTGTCCTGCCTTCTGTAGTGAAAGGTCAGTGGATTCCAACTGGGACATTTCCAACAGTTGCTACCCCGCTCTCCTCCAGTGGCATCCATTTTCTTTGGCTCCACCCAGCGCATTCAGCTGTGGGATCTCCCACCCTGGCGTAAAGCGTCTCTGAAATGACTCGCTCCTACAGCAATGCAGGTTTCCACACTGTCTTTTCTATTTCTTTTTTCTGTTTTTGGTATCGGGAATCGAACTCAAGACCTTGCATTTGCCACGGTTCTATATCCCTGACTCTCCACACTGTCTTTAAGCTCGGCTGACTTGGATTTTTTGACTGTTCTGTAATCTTGAAAATGGTCTGGGGGAGCAGCGGAGGCGTGAAAGGTGTAGCCGCCCTGCCACTGAGAAAGAGTCTAGCATGTAGCAAATATCAAAAAACATTTACTCAATTTTAAATTTTTCTCAGTTTCCTTCTATGTTGTTATGATGAGATTTTATTATTTCCTTAGAGATTTTTTTAAAGCATTTTAATGAAAACAATACTTTGGAAGGGGGTCAAAAATACAACATGAGAGTAGAAGTCTTCACCCTAGTAAATGCCCCCTTTACATCATTGCTCTGAAGAAATTGCCATTAAGGTTGCTTGAATAACCCACACTTTTCTCTGCAAATACAAATACATGTACATATATTCACCATAAAGGGAACCCATGTTTTATATCATTTTGATGCTTTCTTATAAAATCTACTTTATTTTTATTACTTACCAGTAGACCTTGCATCGCTTTTCATTTCCAAACCTACAGCTGTACTACTATTAGTGGTTTCCTAGTTTTAATCATTCTGCCAAACGGATGGTTTCCATCCAGTTCTTCTTATTCTTAATATTTCAGAGAGCTGAATCAAACAAACACACTAGTTTTATGTGAATATATATGTCATGCTTAGAATTACAGAAAGATGGATTAGCTGTTTTCTCCTTCTGTGAAATCCTTAAGAAGTTAATGTTCCAAGGCTCTGCTTAGATCATTTTGAAACAGCAGCAGCGTGACGTTCTGGGGGCTATGAAGACCCTAGCTGAGGAGAGTTCCTGGCAGATACTTTTTGGGCAGGGGGCTCCAGGTCAAACATCAGAGTCCTAGAATGAGCACAACAGAAAGGGACCACTGATATTGGATAGCTCACCCTCAACCCCAGTCTGTAGATGAGAAAGTCAGAGTTTAAAAGAATTCAGTTGGTAGCTCTGTGTAGAAAGGCTGAACCCTAATCTGACTCTTAGTGTGCAAGATGCTAGCTCCTAAAATAAATAAATACAAGAAGTCAGAAAACTCAAACCGCTCAACCTCACTTCCTCATTTTTTGCCATTTAAATTCCCAGTTACATACATCTCCTCCTCCTCAGATTACAACCATACGTCTCTTACAAGCTTGAGCAGTTTTGAAGATAAAAATATTATTTGCAAAACATGAAGTTAGGAACATCTTGGTAAATGTTTCTTCCTATTAGTAATCTTCTCTCCACAGCCATAGACAATCTAGTGAGAAACTGATATAGCCTTAAAATCAAGAGAATTCAGTTCAGACTACAAGTTTGAGTCCTACCGTCAAAATGTGGCACCCAAGTGTATAGGATTATGCCACTTTGTGTTTTTTTGTTTTTGTTTTTGAGGCAGCATCTCACTATGTTCAGGGGCAGCCCGGACTCACTATGCAGCCCAGTCTTGAACTCACTATGTAGGCCTTAATATGGCCTTTAACTTTTGATGATCCTCCTGCCCCAGGGTCCTGAGTGCTACGATTACAGGTACGTGTCACCAGGCCCAGCAGTTTTTACCACTTTGAAGAGTCATTATCTAAACTTGTTTGAAGCCCGAGCAAACAGTATTCCATCTAGGACTGAGGCCTTGTGTCATAATTGCTTTATTTGTCTCACCATATGTTTTCCTGACAGCAGAGAGAGTTCTGCAAACAAGAAATAAACACATTTTCTTATCTAGCACAGTAATTTGTATG